ATGAGCAGTGTATAAAAATTAAAAATTTTCAACTTGTAAATAAATGATATTCCCTCGCATTATGAATCATTAAAAAGCCATTCACTGTAAGAATCGCTTGAATACAAAGCCCCTGGATTTATTCATCTTTATCTCGCTTTCTATATAATATGTAAAAAAAAAAGCAAAAACGCGAGAAAGAGAAATTGTTGATGTGAGAGAAGGAGCAGAATGGAGCAGATTAATGTTAACTCTATTTAACTGTCACAATGATCCGAAGAGCTTTTACACCTAAGCTGGCATAGTCTGTAGTCTGGCGTAGTTTCTGCCAATTAGCATAAGTTTACCAAAATGGATTTGTTCTCCCATTTTTCACAAATCTCCAACGACATGTATTTTAAAAAAAAAAACACCTGATTACCACTGATGAGAAGTGTAAAAAAAAAAGTGACTCAACTTTTTTCAAAGCGTTCATTCAACTTTTTGTTTTACCAGCTATGGAATTTGAAAATTTGTGAAACCCCTAGGTGTTAGCTAGTCCGGGTGGTATTTAGACGAGCGTAAAAACGACGTTAGGAGGAGCCTTTTGAATTTTTCCTTCACAAATTGCCGGAAATACCTTGAAAATACGTGAAATTACAAGTTTTTTTTCCTTTTAAGTTTCTTATGGTAATTAGTGAATAAATATTAGACTGCTGATAAATGGATAAATTGTTTGAGGTGACTTAATGATGAAAAATTGAAACGACGTAATTTTTCGTTGAAATACCTTATCCCAGTCATATTTAGTTACCCGGAATTCACCCTGAGTGCGAGAGAACCGAGAGAATCAAGAGATAAAAATATAGAGACACCATTCTCTGGAGCCATAAGTGGATGAGAGAGAAAAGCAATAACATGAGATATCCCATGAAACTTTTAAACTGCATCTTTCGCATCGTCTTCACATGCTTCCCACGGCGTCGCATCGTTTCACCTCCTCTCCCTCTCTCAACCATTGGCATTTCTTCCATCTTCACTGGTATCCACCCTCTTTTACCTCGTTCACTCCTACAGGATCCCTTCTTCATTGACTTTTTGGGTGGCTATCGGGTGAGAAAAATCCCTGGGACTTTCTCACCTTTCCCATGCACTCGAAACTGACAAATAACGTGGGTGTGGATGCTGAGTAATTAAAATTCACTTTTATCTTTTTTCTCCTGCTATACGGAAGTGTAACAATCCAAACCATTTGTTATTTTATATTGGTTAAATTAATAATTATTAAATCGTTAAATACTCGTCGCAGTTGGTAAATAAATCTTAAAAAATACAACTTTACTCTCATTTGTCAATTAGTCAATAGAACTGTATTATTGGTAAATACGATTGAAAAATTAATTATACTTTCTACAGAATTGTTTTGGTTTTAGGACGGAAGTCACAAAGACACTGCAGGAAGTCATTTGGTAAATGGCAATTTAATAGGGCCACAGTACCAGAAGCCCCAAATTCCTCTCTGGGTTTTCTATCCACAGTGAAAGAGATTCCTTTGAAAATATGGGGAGGTATCTTTGATCGTTGGACACTATTTTTCTTCATCTTTCAGCGGCTCATCACAATTGAATGCAAGCAAAAAAATAAAAAGAATGAGAACGATTTTTGAGAGAGAGATGAGATACCCGTTAAAAAAAAAAAACAAAACAAAAAAAAAATACCAAAAATTGAACTATTGAAATCAATGGAGACAATGGCTGTGGCCTGCTGCACCCTCTGGTGCAGTTAACGCTACAGCGTGGAGAATCATTGAAAAAGAACGTTTGTGTGGCGGAGAAAGACCGAGGAAATGAACGATTAGATATTAATTTGTGCTGGAGAAGGTCTTTTTGAAAAATTGAAAAAGTCGTACTTTTAGATCATATTATCCGCATATTATCACACGGAGGAGAAAAATTCATTTGCCAAGAATATTTACTAATCACAAGAAAATATATGTGGCATTAATCAATCTTATGGGAGTACTTATATAATGATTACCACATTTACTGGTGGGAAAAAAATATATTTGGCAAAAAAAAAATTTTTTGTCCTCAGTGCAATGGATTTTGGAAAGCTTAAGAAAAAAAACGAATGAAAATTTTGCAATTATAGTAGTGAAAAAGTATGTTATTTTAGTGGATGGGCTGGTTCATCGATTTGGACTGTACCCTGCGGATTTTTTAGTCACGCCGACAAGGCGGCGGAAGATGCTTCCTTTTTTTCTAAATGGGATTCCTGGTTAGACATCGGCTTTCCTTTGAGAAAACGAAAAAAAAATTGCTACTTTTGCGGTTCGCCCCCTATTGCGGTGTTGGTTAGGACTCTCGTTATAGAGTTTCTCGTATTTGAATTGTTTTCATGTTGAACATTGTAGTCTCGTAAAACGAGAAGAATCACAATGATGTTGTATTGTTGTTGGTTGAAAATATTTTGCCTTATAATGTAAGTCTATTGTAGTGCGATTTGGCCAATTAAAGAAATTAGTGGCTCACGTGACTAACAGGACTTTGAAAAAGTACTTTTTCTACAACTTCAAATATATTTCACTCTTTTACTTTTATATAATTTTTATTTCTATTTAGCAATTTTCGAGAAAAATCTCACGTGGCCAGTGAGCAGTGTCTGACCAGTTGACCCCGTCGGCTCACCGATACTTGGTAATTATCCAATTAAATTCCGACCATTTCTCGTAAGAGTTAAATGAAAAAGAAAAAAATCAACGAAAAAAATATCGAAATTGGATGAACCCTCGAATTGGAGACGCGAGTGGGGGTGCCAGATTTAATTTGATAATTGCATTATTTCCAGAGAAACTTAAATACTACCTTTCGCATGGCAACTGCAAGCTCAAATTTGTTATTCCCACTCACTCTGTGTTTTTACCAGTTGAAAGGCAGCGCGGGTGGGTATTTCCGAGGATAAGAGAGATGAATAACAATATGAGAGGAAAATAAAATTTGTTAGCTTATTGTGGTGAGGTGGTAAGTCTTAGTTGCTATACTTGTTGAAATATGTAGTAAAGGCACTACAAAAGATAAAAAATGAAAACAAAAAAATGATTATGGATTAAAAAAGAAGGAGTTAGGAAGGTGGGCGGCAGTGTGTATGATGGGGTGGGGATAAGCACGCGTCCGCCACGCTTCTACGTGCACACACCTGGGACTCCAGTTGGCCAGCGTGAGGGACTCCCCTCTTTCTGTTCTGTTCTGTTCTGTTCTGTTCGGTTCTGTTCTGTTCTGTTCTTGTCTGTTCTATTCCTCTCTTTGCTCACTTGCCAAAACTTGCGGTACTTGCACAACTCACTTGAGTCCATTTTTGCCAATTTTTATTTTTTCAACCACCCTCCCGACAGGCCTCACTTTTTTGACTAGTCACATTTTATGCATAATTTGCTATAAAATGAAAATGACACTCGAGCATCACTCTTTATTTTATTTTCACCGTTCGTTTCCAACAAATTTAATGGATTTTTGTACGAAATGAAAGAAGCCAATGCCTCTCCACGGTAGCAAAAATTCAAATAAAGGAAATGGACAAGATCCCAAGGAAAAATAAATAGGTGAAAAGCCTGGTATAATTATCGAGTTTTACGGAGGCCGTAATATTAGTAGGCGTGTAGCAATAACAAAATGGTCAGTCCTTCCTGGCGGTCTCTTCATACAACACAAACCGAAAAATTGGTAAAGGTAGCGCATTAAAGTAACATTTAGATTTAAAGCTTTTGGAAACTCTGAAAATTTCGTGTAGAATGACCGTGGGAAAGTGCACAATGTATACATGGACAAATAATTGAACCATCCCATGTATCATGCAGGGGTGAAATTTGTTTTCACATTATCTCTAAATTAGATTATAACTTGATGGAACAAGTGGGTGTGAAAATACCTCAATAAAGAGTAAAGAGAGGAAGGAAGTGAAGTATGGTGTATATTTGAGTTGAAAGAGGAAAGGGGAGAAGGTGAAGGTGGTACCTAGGTGGTGGATTTAATGCCAACCAAGGCGCCTGAGCCGTCGTTGATCGCACGCCCGATATGAATACGCCCACTAGTTAACCCCACTCCCTCTTCAACCCCTCATCGTTATCGTTATTATAATATTTGCCCAAGCGAAATATAGTAATTGCATATTTACCTTTCGGTCCCAATTACCCCATTGCCCGTTCACGTCTGTACAGCCTCTTTTATCTGCTGCTCTTTGCTCATGGTCTTCTTTTCTTCCTCTTCTGTTTTTTCGTTTTTCATCAATTTTTTTCTTCACAGTTTGGTGGACAGGTATGTCGGGATTTTATAAGCTCCCGTATCGACACACCTTTCAACAATCCAACCATCTGAGATAATATGTTTCGCAGGTGTTATTAGGCATTTGATCGAGCTATTTACTATTATTTAACGATTTCGTCGTAATTTATACCAAAAATTGGGTGGGTCAATGTAATTTTTCGAGTGGTGAACTCTGTACAATATATAAACAACACTCTCAGTATTTTTTCGTCAATTAATTGGAGATTTTGTATGAATTCATCTGAATAATGACACGAGTATAAAAGTTATTTGAGAAAAAAAAAAAACTTTGGGTGACAAAAGTCACGACCATGTTTTTGCACAATGGAATCAACAACTCACTCACTCACTCACTCAGTCACTCATAATTCATCATATCATAATTCAATTACTGATGTTTCATGCAAATTTAAAAATCACAAAGAGCAACACATTATTAGAGTGATATCAGAGTTTATAGAGGTGACTGCCAGGCGCCTGCACAAAACCTTCAACATGATCAGAGCCTGTATCAGTAAGTAAAAGAGGTCGCGAGCCTTGTTGAAGCCTTTCCATAAGCCCTAGATTGCTAGCAATCTCCCCTATAATCTCTGGTAATATGATGAACCAGGCGACGAGGGATAAGCGGATGCCATATAAATTTCGATACGACGTGGACATCTATAGGATTTGAGAGTAACTACTCAAGGTTGGAGATGAAACGGTGAGGTGCATTTAAATCGTAACGTAATGGTAACCTAATCAATACTATTAACAAGTTATTTAACAACAACAAATGCACCATCCACTTTTATTACATTTATGGGAACAGAAAAAAAATTTCACTCATGTCTCCTATGAAGTTTCTTCATGTTAATAACGCTCATTCGTCTCCGATTGATGAGCCTGTCGAGAGCGTGCCAGAGAAATATATAAGCATCAGTAACCTCCTTGGTGAGACTCTCCTTAACCAAATTGCTCTGCGCATTTACATTAAAAAATTCACGGAGTTGACGTATTCGTGCATAGACAAGTGGCGCAGGCAAATCTACTGCAAACTTGGAAGAATGATTACACGTCGGACACGTAGCAGGGATCTCATCAATGTTATCAACAATGTAGTTGCATCTGAACTCAATGTATTCACTTGATCCCTTTTTATATTTGATATATGCACACCTGACCTTGGGAGGGTGTTCCTCTAAAAAATTGGCTATTGCATAGTCCAAATCCTCTAAAATTCCATCAACATACCTCCAAGGAGCACAATCACACTCATCATTTAAGCATGCCGACAAAAATGGAACTGAATCCCTCCCTTCTTGTCCTTCCCTAATAAATCCATTCATGGATTGTGCCACCCCACATTTCCTACAAGTAATTGTAACTGGCTCAGCAAGCGGGCATACCTTAATAGACTTATGCTGTTCCTCGTTTGCAACGGGTTCAACACCTGGTATTGTGTTGTATTGATCCTTCAATCCCAAATGCTTGGCAAAAAAACTTGAACTCAAGTCATCCATTGGTCTGAATACATTTTGAAGTCTCGGAATAAGTTGACTAATAAAATAATAGTTGATATCAGGTGGAAATTGCTTGCCATCTGTTTGGAGATAAGCTCGTTCCTCCGGTGATCTTGAAGTTCCATCGCTGCGAATTATGTAAGAAATAGATTCGTCCGATTTGCAATTGCTTCCATCTTTATTGGTTTTGTTGTCGGTGTTGTCGTGAGGCAATTTCTCATGGTTTGATTTACAGCTAAGCCATAAATTTGAGTGAGAGCCAACTTTCTGAGTAATCACCAAATCATTTTCGAATTGACTGGGATTTTCGTTAGCCTCCTTGGCAAGTTTCTGAAGATATTCGGCCACCTTCTTCCGCCTCTTCGGGTAAAGTTCATCATTAAACATTTGCTTGGTGACATGCTCGACAATGGAAATAACTAGTTGACAATTGCTCCCTTTTTTAGGAAGAGTACCTTTTCCTTCTAGGACTAATTGACTCTTGCCATCAGGAAGATCTATTAAAGATAATCCAGTGTATTGCTTCCTGTTGACAATGATGATATACTTATATATCGCCTCAAGTTCCAACTCGATGAATTGGTATTGTTGATTGACTACATTCTTGATCACTCCTGCTATGCGCCTCGCCTCAGTTGGATCCCTTTGCATTGTATCAATTATGAGAGAGTCTGTGTCTCCATAAATTGTACTGAAAGTGTTTGATTTCGCCATTGTCACAGCATTCATTAAGATTTCACGACCTTTAGCAGTAATTTTAGCCGCAATATTTCTAGCATAGAATCTGAAGTAGATGGAACCAAAGGATCCGTACAGCGTGTTAGCTATTAATTTGAGAGCTAGTTGTTGTGCCTGATATTTAGCCTTTTCAGCTAGTGAAATATTTGGCGTGTTCATGTGGCATTTGGCTTTTGAACGAGCCTCAACGATGTCACCTACTAGTTTAGGGATGATTCCTGTGAAAAATAAAAAACACCAAAAAGTCATATAGTCATCATATCCTTCCAATATTATACATGCATATTGTATATTAAAATAAAATAGAAAAATACTACATCTTACCCATTGGGGCATTCAATTGCACATAAATTTCGTCGAAAGATTTGAAGCAAACCCCTGGCATCGTCGTAAAGCAGATATTGTATTCACGGATGATGTTTGGGTAAAGAGATTTAAAGTCCATCAGGAGGGTTGTATCGACATGCATCCTTGCAATAACCTCTAATACCCGACCTCCCGAGAAAGTTTTCTTATCCTTCACATTAATTATTCGTCTGTCTGGAATAATATAGCCTCTTTTGTGAAATGCATGAATTAATAGAAATTCATTCCTCATATTCTTGGGAAAGGTGAAGGATTGTGATAATACATGACCAGTAATGGCTGTCACCTCCATTACGAGAGGAATTATATTCATGTGGTAGACTAGTTTAATAATCGATTGACTTTCTAGCCTCGTATTATTAATAAATTCAACAATTTGTTCAATTGATGAGTAACACTCCAAAACTTGAAATGAAGCGATCTGCTTAATAGTGCCTACATTGGTATTCAATAATTCTGCACATATCAAGTCGACATTACACAACGTAGCCAACTTTGGATAGATTTCATTGACAGCTAATCTGACATCGCATATGGGGCGGCCGATAACGCATCTTAGATTTGACTGTTTTCGTAATTTATTACATGAAATATTCCATCCGTCCATCTTAATTCGGCTAATTTTCGTCTGAGGGCATGCTTTATTGTAATGTTGAAGTCTATTCAGCAAATTTTCCAGAGAATTCTCGCACTGATAGCCGACAATTATGTCTGGATCGTAGCATTGGAATTTGTCAACAAACGTGTCAAGTAAATTTTTCTCTCCATTGCACGTGACAACATTTATAGATGGACAAGTCGCCGTACTAAAGGAGAAACCATCATTTGTGAGATGTGGCAAACTGAGGGAATTCACTGGTCCTCTTATAAAGCAATATTCATCGACAATTGTTGGTTTTTGGTCATGGGTGGACATTTCAAAAATGTTGAAACTCTTCATAATTGACATGTGAATCATCATCACTTGTTCGACACCATTGATGGGTGCACTTTTAATGTTCAACTCCGTTAAAACCATCGGTGGAATTCCCAGTTTTTCACGAACAACAGTGATGTTGTTCATCGATGGACATGACACTTGATAATGACACCGGGTTTCGTTTTTTTTTAACTCAACAAACTCTGAATCTTGAATCTGAAGCCAAGAGGGGCCTTTAATCTCTCTTTCCGAAAGAAATAACTCGAGCGAGTTTAAGGAGGCTCCAAAAATGTGTTTGATGATTTGACTGTGGTCCGAATGAAGCATAACGGGATACGAAGCTGGATATGTGACTGTTAAATAATTAGCCACTGTTGGAATGTCCTCAATATCAAATGCATATTTCTTTCTTTGTAGCTGCATAGTGTAATCTTGTTTTTTTATTCCATGCTTCATAACATGTTTATTGAATTCAGCAATCACTGCCTTCATAGATTGAGAAGATTGGGATATTGGGAGGAGATACAATCTCCTGGGGATTGTCACGGTGACGCAACATGAGGCGTAGATTTTTGTTAATGGAAGGTAGATTTTTCCAAAGAGGTAGAGCTGGCCAGGCTTCACCCCCTCCAGAAGGTCCAAATAATAGAATCGTAGGTGGGATTTTTTTAACGAGTTGCAGGTCGGTGATAATTGGAGATTCGACTGTGAGAGTTGTTCTTCAGCTTCTCCTAAGAATTGCTTTCCTTTATGGCTCTCTTCCATTTTCATCGATTATTTCATATTAACACTCATTATAATTTATTTACTAAATATATATGCATAATCAATAAGAACTTTACAAATACACAAAATTATAAATTCTCATTCAATCACTTATGTTATGGCCACTTCTGAGGAGCCATTTTGAGCTTTATTTTCCCACTTTAAACTTTTTTTTTTTTTCTCCCGTTAGGAGGCACGAACACACAAGCGGCGGGTAGTTCAAACTAAAATTCTGCCTAAATAGAGTATAAAATCGATTTAATAAACACATTGACAATCAGATGATACACGCTATGGTTGGAAATCCTAATAGTCAATTCATTCAACAATCATTAGAACAATAGAAGGGTGTTGAAGTTAAAAAGTGATTGTTGACTTAACTGATACAATTATCTATTGTTCTTCATAGCCCGCAGAAATAAGTCCCCTTACAATGTTTACAATGTGGCGCCATCACTCTCTTGGGGTGCAGGTCACTGAATCCCCCAGAATTGAACCGCTACTTTAGTCAATCCTCTTTGATATTCTTCCACGCAGCGGAAAACGGGTGAAAAAAAAAAGTAAGTTTTAAGTCGGGAAAGAATGCGCAAAATCGCTCCCCTGATCGTTCAATTTTTTTCTAAACCAATACGAATTAATTACATTGACGATCCAACGGGAAAATAATCCCCAGAACTGGGGAAAAATATTATCATCCAGATTCCTATATTTATTAGAGCCAGATTTTACAACGGCCAATATACTGACACAACTGCTGAGAACTGCATTTTCTACTAGCAAATTGAACACTTACAAGTGCTTGTCAAAATTATGGATTTACTTGGATCCATTCTCAACTCCATGGAAAAACCTCCGACATTCAGTGATAAACAGAAAGCGTTAATCAAGAGTGAGTTAAATCGTCATAACCTTTTCCGTCTGCATTAATTTAAATATTTCAAATATTAAATAATATTTTCAAATAATAGAGCAACGAGAAGAACAAGAAAAACGACAAAAAGCAGAAGCCGACAAACTCAAACAGTTTCGTGAACAAGTATTTATTTCATCTTTCCATTGAATGCCCTTGGTCGTTTTTATTGAGATGCTACAATATTTATATTATTTTAGATTGAACAGAAAATTAATAAATTTCTCAAGGATGAAAAGCTGAAGGAATATAAATTCGCACCGATGGAGAAAGTTTACAGAACAATTGTGTAAGCGTCTCCTTACATTAAAAAAACAATAGATTATTAATTTGTTTCAACTTCGATTAATTGATTTTTTTTCAATGATCAATATTCGCTAAAGCGCTAATTCGCCATGAACTAGACATTATTAAAGTAGGATGATTTTTCTCTTCATATCATCAATATAATTAAATTATAGGCATGATGTTGCGGAAGTAGCTAGCGTGTGGGCCTACTCGTTTGGCGAAGAAGGCATCGACAGGCATATTATGATATTCAAAAGGGAGTACGCCCCATCAGAGGACCAGTTGAACGCTCTTCGTAAGGGTGAAGAATGGAGCCTAGAGATTGCCAAAAAATTGCAAATGGATAGAGAGAGACAGATTAAAGAGGATGCTGAATGCATTAAAAATCGTAAGCGAAAGAATGACTTTGTGCCGAATTTCAACTACAAGGACAAGTACGAGCACTTGATTGGAAAGGAATCAGCACTTGAGGCCGCAAGGAAGACTGTATCTAGTAGTAGTTACGGTGTTGGTGAGTTGAAAACGAAAAATAATTTATCCTCCATATCGGCCTTAATCGTAATCATAATCATAATCATCAATCTTTACATTTTTCTAGTTCCCAGTGAAAACAAAAAAGATCAACGAAGTATAGAGCAAACTTTAGCTGATATTAGAGCCAAAAAGAGAAAAATCGAAGCAGCGAATGAGCAGACAGAAATGAAAGGATAATTCGCTTAAATATTTTGCCTGTCAATAATTTTTTCAGTATTTTTCAAAGATAATTAACCCATTGTACATATTTATAAGTAGATTGTATTTCCAAAAAACCATTACCCTGCACAAATACTTCCCCTGGAATTTATTAATAACGATAATTAATTGAATTATAATTTAAGGTTATTTACAACAATTGATAATATACAAATTAATAATTATAAGTATTCCGTAATTGAATACTTTGTAACAGAGGTTCTCGGCGTTGGCTTTGGTTTATTAGCAGGAATCGGATCAAAGACAATTTGTTGTTTCAACTCAATAAGCTTTTTAAAATCTTGCCCCGTTGTACTATTATAAAGCTCCAGACCTCGTTCAATAATCACATCACGAACGTAGATAGCATTATCCTGAATTAATTTCCTCTGTAATAAAATTCAATGAAATTGGTATCGTGAAATTATATTACCATGATAGTCTCTAATTGCTTCACTAAGGCATTAAATCTCCCCCTAAAAAAAATCTTTTTAACCTCTTCAGTCTAACTCTTAAAACTATTAAAACTAATTAATAAATTGAGAGAAAAATAGTTCGGGGAGTTTGAGTATTTTTCTCAACAAATCATTGAAATTAATTAAAAAAAAAAAAAATGCGCAATACATTACCTCCTGTTTAAATTTCATATTATTCAATGAAGTCACTAGATGTTGTACTTGGGCCTTCATCACCAGAACCAGAACATTATCAATGGTATAAATCAATTCAGGAATAGCAACACTAAGGCAATCTTGTAACAAGCTCACATACAACTTGGCGAAGGCAATGGTATTGCTTGTTAACGACAACCAGTAGTCACCAGTAAGGCAGCCCTTGAGCACAGGAATTCCCATATCATCCAGCTCACACATCAGTTTTTGGAGGCTCGGGTAGTTGTGAAGATTAGAAGGTCTCCAACTGTCCTCTCCAGCTCTAACTTTAACAGCATCAAGATACTTCTCCCCAGCATCCTGCAGGGCTCTGGCAAGGGGAACTCTCAGTTGTCCATCAAGCTGATATCTAAGATCTATTCCCAATTGGATCAGCTGATCGCAGTGACTTCTTACAACTCCAATGCATTCAACAAGAGTACCAAGGGTAACTTGAGGAATAAACAATTGTTTAATCAAATGTGATGTCAAATGTTTGACCTCCTGGCTGGACCATACAATGAGACTCGATGTGCAGTTGGTCGCTTCAGGGAATAGCTTGAGAAATTCCCTCGCCATCTCCACGATATTGCTAAAGGCTATTGCACTGAGTTGTTTGACGTAGGGAATTGTTGCTCCCTCTCGTTTAACCCGTTTCAATCTAGCTTTTAATGCTACGTTACAAAGTTGAAGATATAACTGACAGGCTTGAACACTTCTATCGAGTTGGATGAGAAGCCTAACTGCACGTCGTGCTGATCTCAGTCCACCCCCCTGTAAAGATCTAGCTTCAGCACTGAGTTCTAGCTCTCGTGTAAGCACATCTACTAGACGAACTCCACGTTCTTCAATCTGTAATTAGAGCCATTGAAATGTTGTTTTTAATTTTATCACAAAAAATAATGAAAAAGTTATTCGTTACTTTCTATGGGTTTATTTCAAACCTTAGTCGTGATTTGGACAATGGCTTGGGTTGGCTGTGACTCTTGGAGGAAATTTTTTGCTTTTTCTAGAAGAGTATAGGCTTCATCGAAATGCCGTTGAGCCATGCAAGAGTCAAGATCCTCTGTGACCTCAAGCAGCCAATCAGGAAGGGATTCTAGGCTCTCAGGTGCATCTCCATCGTCAATTGGAGTGTTGGAATCTAGAGAGAGAGACCTGGAAGGAACAATGGTGGTGTCCTTGACTGGCTCTTGGACATCTGATTCCGATTTGTGGTTTTCCTGGGTAAGACGAGCACGTTTCGTATGCTCACATTTTTCGAGCCATTCCTTTTTGCTGGTAGCTGTCGGACACTGGAAGACTCTGGTATCGGGAAAAGCGAGAAGTTTAAAGGCCAACTTTACGGAGCCCAGGTCCCGAACGTTGACAATTGCAAGGCTTTGAAGATTGTATACTGTCTGCATTTTGTAGCGAGGAGGGCCTCGGCGACCCCCTGTTGCCAACCATGAAGCAATCATGAGAACATCATTGAAGAGATATGCATGGATTCGTTTCAATGGTGTGCCATCGAGTGGATCAAGCTCCAGAAGAGATCCCTCATGGTGGCAAATACGTCCGGGAGTTTCCACCAGACTCATTGCACCTTCAACATTCTCAAGTAGCTGTAACAATTTCAGTTTCTGCTCCTCCTCCTTAGATACAATCGTATTTTCATTTTCCTGATGATATCCGAGTGTATCATCAAAAATGGGACCAGTGGTAGTTCTGCTGGATCCCAATGTGCTCAAAAGTGATCTCTGTTCTCCCAATAGTTGAGACAACTGATACATCTCGCTCTCGAGATGGGATATCTCTTTGGCCGTCTCAATAAACTGCATATAATTCTGGTAAACATTTCGCTTCAATTGAGCTGATGTATCATCAGCCAATTCTTGAATTCGCGCTCTTTGTTTGCGAAGCTCATCAGCACCCACACACTGAGCACTCAGTTCTTTAACAACTGAAATTTCCAATGATGACCATATTTCTTTACTCAATTTACTTTCTTAATTTTTCTTAATTTTTTAAAATAAAATATACCTCAATTGTTAAATAATTATAAAAAAAAATTCCAATGCATGATTAAGGATTTTCCATAGTGATTAAGTATATAAACTTACATTTGTCGTGATTGAACTCCTCTGAAGCAAAACTCTTAGCCAAGGAATCTGTCATGTTTATTAATTACTCGAAAAACTTTCCGATTTTGTATGTTGTATGAATGCAAGTAATTACATGACTCAGGTTAGGCTCAATAAAACCTAGCACGCTTATATAGTTACGTCCCACCTCCAATCATTGTTGATTAATTATAATTGATGAACTGTTCATTTCACAAAAATGAAGCATAATAGATATTTAATGAATTTTGCCAAAGACTTTCATTGAAGCGAATAAATAGGCCTACACTTTGCTATTTGTGTAATATTTAATGTGTCCATGAAAATACTCAGCCACTATATATTCGCTATTTCATCGATGCATAAATATCCTTTTTCAGTTTCAGTAAAAAAAAGCATGGACTTGAAAGTGTTATGGCGGAGAGCATGTAAAAAGTGTCATGGGCGGGAAGCTGAAGGATGCGTTCTCATGTGAACATTCATGAAGACGGGATACGCGTATTTGAGTTGATTTGCGTCGATTTTACTGGATTTTTTTCTTCTTGGATTTCGTTAAGGATTAATTTCACTTCATTGGCGGTTGAATGTTTCTCACAGTGAAAATTTTTGGGGAAAACTCAGACGGACGATGTAATTTGCCATAGAATACAGCTAGTTTTACACCTTAATATTAATTAGGAGGGAAAAGATGAATTTTTAAAGTCGAGTGAATTACTTGTAGATCATTGACCGGTTCAATGTTCCCCACTTATTTTCCACCCTTTAGCACTTTGAATGTCCTCGATTTCCCTCCTCTCCCCCCACTCTATCACTACCTCTACAATGCCGTTATCGACACTCAGCTTCGTGCTCTGCCTTATTCACGGGTACGGCGTTTGATTGATTCTCGTAACCGACGCTCCGAAATTTCCCTGTTGAATTTTTACCCGTAAAGCGCTGCTCATCTCCCTCCCCTATAATCTCTGATTCGATACTCTCGCAGCCGCCATTTTGATTTCTTTCGATTTTTTTCAATTCGATTTTTGAGCCGTAGCCATTATGCTCTCCTTTTATATATAGAGAGAAGAGAGACAGAGAGAGATATAGAGAGACTAGAGAGAGAGAAAGAGAAGATAGAAAGGAAGGATAGTACAGACAATCGCCACGATCTATCGTCCATCCAGAAAGCATCAGTCTGCCCCGTTGACGGACAGGGGCAAGGGGTTAAAAAACCCTACGTTGGGAAAATACTTACGTTACTTACCATTACTTACCACTATTACAGCAATTATCAATTTATCTTCGAAATTATTGCGACAGTTTGATAAATTTTTATTGTTTCGTTAGTGGAAAAATTCTTTCATAACTGGTAGTTTATTTGTTTGTGGGGATAATTCACGAGTATAACCAAAGCAATTGCTCCTTACCGTATTGCCCCGGTTTTTCGTGAAGGGCATGGGCGTGCATGTGTCGTTCTGTTCAGTAAGATTCTTAATGGCAGATTGTGGTTGAGGTATGTGGAAAAGCAATATTTTCACTATTTCATTGAATAATTTGGCTATTGAATCTTGAAGGATTCTTTAATGATTTGGTAGTATTAATATTTTTTCAACAAGTGTATCATTATATTTTTGAAATCGATTCGTGAAGGCTAAAATGCGAAATTCTTTTGCATGGATTTAACTGAAGACTTCAATGATTATGTTAATAATTATTTTTATTCTTACTAGTGGTGGATAGATTTGGTGAATATTGAGATTAAATAGTATGTATAAATTCAGTATTATGTATTTTTCTGTATTTTTTGAAAATTTTTCTCATCTTCAGGATTATTCAGTGACGTTGGGTATTATGAAGAGGATTTGAACGATTAATCACGATCACGATGATTTCCGGTGCTCAAAGTGTTTTTATTTTCATAAACAATTGTTTGGCATCGTTCTTCTACACTTTGTATTCGCAAGTGAGTAAATATGATAATAATAGAAGAGCGTAGTTGATACTAATAAGATGATGCATCAGGGATTTTCAGATAACAATATGGAGCATCAAGGGACTATTAACAATTTATTGAAGAGATATAAATCATAGAAGAGGATTAAGATTTTTTTTTTTCAACAATTAATTGATATTGATGGACAATGGATTCTCCACCGTCGTGCTCACTTAGTGTTACCGGAGCACTCAGTGATTTTGGCAGCAGTGGACTTGGTGGATCTATATCGAGTGATTCTGTTAGAGCCCAACTTGCTATAGAGATGCAGGAGAGTGATATTGAGTCAAAATCTCTATCACAAGATTCATTCGACTACTCGGACGGTATGTGTCATCAGAACTTCAATACCCTTAAAAAAGGTCCAGGTTGGGCAGATTTGGAGCCAAAACTCTCGGTGGAAGATGTTGCTATAAAGCCACCTCCAGAGTTCCAAGACAGTCCATCTCCTCCGGATTCGGTTAGTTCAAATCTTCCACTGCTGCATTACCGTATTGGAAAAATAAAAATTCCCTCGTGGATTGACGAGCTGGCAGACTCTCTTATCAACCAAATGATTTCCGAAGCCCTTGCCCTCACTTGTCGTGTTTCATGGCCAGAAAGTGAGCTCACTCCGCCTCGACCTAGCCCTAACCCTAGCTCCTGTTCAGGGCCCAGTTCTGGTCTCGGTTTCGGTCTCGGTCTTGGTCTCGGTCTCGGTCTCGGTCTCGGTCTCGGTCCGGGCCCAGACCCTGGCCCTAGCCCTGATTCTAGTTCGGGCACTGGCACTGGCACTGGTAATTTGCCGATGACCCCCTATCTTCACCATCAAACAGCGTCAAAACAACGTTTCTGGGCATCTGAAATGTTACCGTCTTCCTCATCACGACAAGCTAGCACTGCCACTATAACAATTACCCCTTACAATACCCTGAACCGTCCCAATTCGAGATGTTCGCTGGCTTCTTCTCGCTTATCCTCATCTCACAATTCTATAAACACCTCGGGCCTGTGTAAAGCCGACGACAGTAGCTTCATCACCTCAGCAATGTCCCACGATGTTCTAACAACATGTGAAATAAGCGATATGTACAATGTTCCCTTCGATTCAGACATTTATACCGTGCCAATTGACGTTGTTCGACCTCTTCATGGACTTCGCACACCTCAACGTCCAAAACGCCATCGTCACCACAGAAAGCGAAGAAGAAATGTTTCAGCGAGTTCTCAGAGCGAGCTTGAGGCTCACATTCAACAGGCAAGACACTACTGTGGCAAACCGCGTGCCATAACCCATGTGATCAAGTCCCAGAGACTCTTGGCTGAGGTGTGTTGTAACGAAAATGCAAATGGAAAACGCCACAGTGTTCCAGGTACATCAGGGCGCCATCGGGCCCCAGCTAATGAGCACAATAACATTGGAGAACCTATTCACATGACCCTCCATGAGGTGAGACAGTATCTGGAGACACTGTATTCAAGCTCAAGTGATTCTAGTGAAAATAAAATCAAGCGTGAGAAATTACCCAGTCAAACGCCCATTCATCTTGGCATGGCGAAGGCCCTCAGTGTAAATAATAATAATAATAACAATAATAACAATAATAATAATAATAACAATAACAATAATAATAATAATCGATATAGTAATCCTCATACGGATTCTTCCACTGATACTCCACTCTCAAATAAAACCACCAACGGACTGATTAATAATATCAATAATAATGGAAATGGACATGGAAACGGAAATGGAAGAAAGCATAAAAAGAGTGGATTGATGGTTAATAAGCAGAATAAGAAGAGGGAGGAAGGGGGCAAGGAAGGTGGCAAGGGCGAAATAGAGAGGGACAAAATGAAAAAGAGTCAGAGAAATTTTTCGTTGAATTTAAAGCAAACGTTGTGCAATATATTTAGATTTAGAAGGCTTGGATCGCCAGAGAATTTCGGCGACAAGAGGAATAGTATTGTACAGGGAGAAATAGTAGAGGAAGAAGAAGGGGAAAATGAAGGGATTGGAATAATTAATAATAATGGTTGTAGTGGTGGTGGTGGTGGTGGTGGTGGTGCTGGTGGTGGTGGTGGTGGTGGTGGTGGTTGTGCTGGTGCTGGTGCTGGTGGTGCTGGAGAAGTTGGAGGAGAGGCAAAGATGCCATTTTTTAAGAGGGCTTTACCGCCGCTCCCCAGGAGTAATGGGAGTAATGAAAGTGGTATCGGCCATGTGGAACAGGGGGAGGATGCTTTGACGTCGATTGGAGATAAAGGGCTCCGAGAGTCACCGGCTTCGGTGCAGCAGGTTAGCCCTGCCAGGGAGGAGGAATTACCTCCAGAGGATACCAGTATGGACTTTGCCGCGAGCATTGAGAAGGTCAAAGATGTAAGTATTGTGTATATGTTTATTGTTTCGCCAGTTAGCAATAAAAATGTGTATTTTTACTTTTTTTTCAGTATGGCTGGTACTGGGGGCCAATGTCCGGGGAGGCGGCTGAAAAAATTCTATCGAATGAGCCCGATGGTTCATTCATCGTGAGAGATAGCAGTGATGATCATTATATATTTTCGCTGTCATTCCGATTAAATAGCTGTGTCAGACATGTGCGAATAGAACATGATCAAGGTAAGATTTTTTTTTGTAAATCTATTCATTCTAATAGAAAAGGAATAAAAATATTTTATTTCCATAGGTAATTTCAGTTTCGGCAGTTGTACCAAATTCAAATCACACACTATAGTTGATTTCATTGAGAATGCAGTGGAGCACTCGCGAAGCGGTCGCTACTTATTTTTTCTCCATCGTCGACCTGTACTGGGTCCAATGAGAGTTCAATTGTTGCATCCAGTTTCAAGATTCAAACAGGTTCAGTCATTGCAACATACTTGTCGATTTGTCATCCTCAAAATGGTCCGGAGAGATCTCATTTCCACTCTGCCATTACCGCGCAGACTTATTGACTACTTGAGTACACCTCATTACTATAGTGAACAATTGGCCGAACAGGATGATCGAGCTGAATCACCAGTTAGCTCCTCTACTGGTGAATTAGAGAAGATTTGTTTTACACCCCAAGGTTTATCGTGAGAGGTATTTATACCTCACAATCAACTTGTAATATCATTTTTAATTATTAGCTCATCAATCGTGGATCTCTCGAATTAAAATCCTGCACCATATCATTGTATCATTGGGAAAGTGGTGAAAGGAGATGAGATTGTTTTCTTTCATGTTTATTTTTTGAATTTTCGATTTTTACTATTCCTAATAATAATAATACTACGTTAAAAAACATATTCACTCCAAATCTCCATTTACCATTTTGCTACTGATATCTTTTTTTTCCTTTGTTTACTCTGAGTTTTATTGCGAGTCTACAGTGAACCAGTTTGAACAACGAGTGCTGCTACGATTAGACAGCAAAATGCAGCTGGATGAATTTTACTAGACTAATAGTAAAGTAATGGTTCTATCGTTTGCTCTTTCGCTGAGCAATGACAATTTAGGAAAAAAATGTAAAAATGAGAATTCCATTCACACAATAATTTGCTGACAAAAAAAATACGGAAAATTAAGATGAAGAAAACCAAAATCAAGTCATGGAGAAGAAATAACAATACGCTTGTCACATCTTTTATGAAGAAAAATAAAATCATGTTGAAAAAATAATGTCCGACAAATGATGAGTGAGGATGCGAGACAAGCTAAAATAGGCAATAAAATTGCCTAGCAACTGAAAATAAACCACATGAATGAATGTCAGGCCTTATGGTGTGATCATTCGAATTAATGGACTTATATCGTGACTGTGATGCTTGTTTACCAAGCCAAGCAAAATTATCAATTTGTAATACAGCTAATCTTTTATTCAATCATTTTATACGTTCTACCATTGTTCGAATTGGTACTTGAATTGATGGTGCAATGTAGCAAGACAATTTATAACCAGTGAAATTGCTTTGTCCTTTACTTCTAATTTTATTTGAAAATTGTGGAAAATTCTGCTTTGTGTTCTATTCAAGACACAAGAGGGAACATTTTATTGTTGTTTTTTTTTTTTCTTCATTCATTCGATAATTTGAGAAATCCATTTTTTTTTTCTAGGAATTCTTATATTTCTTACTTTTATAAAACATGAATAGACAGATAGGGATTGATCGGAATCAATTGGAAAGTGACGAGTTATAACTTCAATTGCAATCGGTGAATAAAAGTGGTGGGACGTAATTAGTCGATTCTTTCGTTTGGTAACCCTTCGCCATCCTTCACCTCCCGTTTCGTAGTTGCACGCGCCGGGTGGTGTAGCGACACTTTGACGTTTTTCAGTCGGGCCACAAAGTAAAAATTTTATTATGCCACTGTAAACAACTTTTCACTTGTTCGTAATGATTTTTTCATTGGCAAATGATGAAAGGTTAATGAATCCTTTTTTGGAAAAAAGAAGAAAATAATGAACAAAAGAAAAATGAAACGTTCCCTCAAGCATCCTTTTAAAAACTTCTAGGATAATTAAATAACTCTGCTATGAATTGATTAAATCGGGTAAATCACTTTCCTAAAATATCATTCCTTTTACCATAACTCAAAAACCAAATAAACGAGCGAAATTTACATGAATAACTCTCTCCTTAACTTTAAATTTTTCGGCAAAACAAGATACTGCATGAGTGCTCCCTGATAAAGAAATGTAATATTTACGTTTCACCACTGCATACGCTCGCTAGTTGATTCATAGTTAATTGTTAGGAACTGTGTAATTTAAGTTATACGAGATGTATCGGTATACATACCAACTGTTGTTGATTGTTACACGGAATATGCTAGTCATTAATAATTACGTTTAGGATTTGAACTCGAAACGGATCATCCTCCTCCGTTATGGTTACTGAGACCATCTACAACGCAAAAAAAAGCTTCATGTTCATCCTCGAGTGCATTCTCATACAAGATTTCAAGTTACATGCTATTGTAGAAAGTGAGAAAGAGAGAGAATATATTTCTAAGTAATGCATTATAGGGCTTCTCTTTTGTTTTTTCTCATTGATAATAACTGTGGAGTGATTGATTGGTTCGAGGTTCGTATCTTAAATCACACGCATAGAAAAGTCATGTAGACATATACTACATATGACTTTTTTTAGATTTTCCCATTGAGATGAAATACAATAGTATTTTGTAAGAAAATCTATGGAAGGCTCTTGCAGAATATGCCTATCGGATCTCTTCATATGTGATATTTCTCTACAGTATTTTCTTTATTCCAATAAGGAGAATGTGTTAATGAAACTCTCTTCCAATTTTACATACATCTGTTATGTACGCAACTTGTACCATTAAAATAATTTTTTTTTTCTTTTAACCGAATGACTTGATTCTTTATTATTGATTAGATTTAATTTACAAAAGTCGAATGGTCTTCCCAATATGTTGTCAAAATATATTTCTCATATATATCTCTGCTCGACTTAAAAAATGAAAAAAAAAAAAAAAATTTTTTTATTACTGAGAAACTTTCATTACCAAGTTCAATTGCTAATTAAGGTTCATTCCAACAAATGAATGAGCGTTAAGTGAGCAGTCACTTATATTCCATATTAAAACAATAAAAATTAGTTACCCGCTGCGTTATCATCACTTTACAGTTTATAATTACGTTGTTTTTTTGGTTGGTTTTCGAATCAATAATTACGGGTCAGGGTGGCACAGCGACACTAATTAATTTACCTAAATTTGATGATGATTAACACTTCAAGGATTATTTTTTTATCATATAATTATATATAATTATTTATTTTTATTTATATTATTATTTTTTCGCTGTAAAAACGCATTCACACAATTAATGGCCAAAACCAGTTCAATTGTTAGAGAGGAAAATAAAGGAAGATAATGAACAATTCAATTCACCACCAAAAGATTGAGGAGATTTCGATGACTTACACAGAACTAATATAATCAGAATTATATTATGCTGAAACCCATAGGAGGTAGTGGAAGAAATATTAACTGATGAATTTCCAATAGAGTTTCCCCATGGGTATATGAAAATGATAATTTTTAATTTTTTATGAATAACCGAATAACATGCTTGTGTATATAAAAATCAAATCAGCGTAAATACTAATTAAGAGAGAAAAATTCTTGGTGATGAGTCGGCAAAAATGGAATTTTTTTTCAGTTGGCTTTATAGCTAAACTCTAGAAAAATTTGATGAAATATCAAGATTGACATTAGTATGGGAAAATGTGATTGATTGAGACTATTGATTGCCATAAACCGGATATAGATTATTGATTGAATTTGATTGACTATTTAAATGGAGTATTGCGCCATTTAGATATACAAAAAAAAATGAGCAGCTGAAATTGGTTTAGTGAGAAAATTATGCGTGTAGAGAATAACGTTGTTTCTAATCTATTAATTGGACAAAAAAAGGTCTTATTTCCTTTTTTCATTACTCGATTTTACTCGATTTTATAAATTACTATCCATTGGATATTAATATTGATGGGCAAGAGATATAACAGACTCTAAATTTAGTTTTCATTAATAACAATAAACAATAAAAACTAAACGAAGTAAATGCATAAAATTTAATTAAACATCAATAAACAGTATACATTTCCATCCAGAATGAACAATACTGCGATAAGAGAGACAGATAGCGAGGGCTGGTGAGAGGGAGGGAGGAAGAGAGAGAGGGGCTAGGCAATGTCAATGGCAAATAAATGAATGAACAAATAGTCGAGTACATAAGTATTAGCAAAGGTGAACCACAAGTATGTAAAGTCAACTCTTATAATTAATTGATTTCATTGTATTAACGAAAAATGAGGATTGTAAGTTTAATATATAGCCATGTAGTTGAATAACAACGTTTGTACTGCAATGTTGACAATGAAATACATTTTTGAGACTAAATGAAAACATATCAATAACCTAAAAGTCTTTATCTCTCCTTGATTTGAATATCTACCCATTGACAATGGTGATTCGAAGAAAGCCGCCAAGGCTGTTTCGTTATGTTTTCTGGGTTTCGGTGAATTTCCAATGAATGATATGAGCGGTATACATTGCGCACGGTGTCTCTGTCGTTTCATTAGGTCCAACTACGTCAATTCACCAGCTTTATAAACGTTACGAAACCACTTGATCCCCATCGTCTATATCAATCGCACAGATTCTAATAGTAAATTGTTGCAAAGCTTCCATACTACCATAGTCGTTACTGTGTTTTCTCATTTATTAATTTGCTCATCGTTCCAGTGCACATTTATAGAAGCACTTGGGGGATAATTATCCTAAAAATGATTAACCATAAAAAGTTGAACGTTTGAATATTGAAATTAAAAGAAAGAGAGGCATTTGAAAAAGGGACAATCAATGATATGATGATTATTATGGATATGCAAGCAATTTCCGGCATGTTCAGTGTCATTACTATTGCCGCTTGTTTCATCCTAAAAATTCCACAACTATGGAATCTTATGGTGGTCAAGTCAGCAGCTCAGATTCCACTATCGGGTCTTGCCCTCGAGCTCATCAGGTTCTTCATTTTTAATAACAACTATTATATCTCAAGAATAATTTATGTTATTTTTAATTGTAAGATCTTATTTTTCATTACAGTTATACTGTGATGGCGAGCTACAACTACATTAATGGCTATGCACTAATGTCGTACTTGGAATATCCGGTGATTCTCGTTCAACAATTGGTTCTTATTTATTTTGTTCTGAAATATCGAAATCAAATCAACACAACTTCAATATTGTTCGCAACTTGTTACTTCCTCCTGAGTATCTGTATTTTTATTCAAGTTATTCCTAAAGCTGTTTTTACATTTTTAACAGTGAGTTGGTTAATAATGACAAAGTTATAAACAAAACAGACAAAACAAAAAAGAATGCTGTCGTATTTTGATTATTCTACTTTTACAGCCCATGTGCACACCTATCTCTGTGTCCAGTAAAATTGTTCAACTGGTTGCAATTTTTCGTGCGAAAAATGCGGAATCTGTGTCATTATTGACATGGTGTATCTCTGCATTCACCAATATGAGTATGCTCTACGCATCAATTAATTTTTCCATTACTTCAGATGGATGAAAATATATTAATTCCAAATTTTTTTTTTCAATTTTATAGCAAGGATATTTACCATTTGGGTGGATTCTGCTGATTACTTACTTTTAGCAAACTTCATAATATCGACGTTGTTAAGCTCGAGCATAATGTTCTTAGCAATGTATTACAAATATCGTCGGAAACAGAATTGAAGGGAAATTTTATGATACAAATGCTGTATTAAATTTAAATCTTTAATGCATTCACTAAAGTATATCTCCACTTAATGTATTTCAATTTCATGAATAACAATTATACGTATTGTAAAATATAATATGCTTTTGTTGTCTTAATTCTCGCCGTCTTTATTCAATCCAATTCATTCTATTCTATTTTCAAAGAAGAGCGTCAATGAAGAATTTTCGTTTCAGTGCATTGGTAGCATTGGCCCACGATACGTCAAGTACTCAAGTAGTTAATTGTGCAACAACCTTCAAATACTCAATGAAATGTAGGCCACTTTATTATTTCCCGTTAAACTTTTCATGACATGAATAAGTTACTAACATAATCAAATAAATAACACTATTGTAATGGCTGGTTCAGCATTGAGACGTCTCATGGCCGAGTATAAACGTAAATATGATAATCATTTGAATATTCATCGGGCACATTTTTTTTATTGTTCCAACATATGTTTATTATTATTCCTCTTGGTAAATAAATAAACTTTACTCATGTTTGTACTCTAATTTACAGAATTAACCTTAAATCCACCGGAGGGTATTGTTGCAGGACCAATTAATGAAGAAAATTTCTTCGAGTGGGAAGCACTCATTACGTATGTAATTAATAATCCACAATGCTGTACACTTTTGTATTCTTTTCTCAATTTATCCTTTTTTATTATTCCGACTGGTCCATATCTACTCTCATATACAAAAAAATGATAATGAATTTCTGAATTTATCAACAGGTTTATTATTTTTTTTTTAGAGGGCCGGAAGGTACATGTTTTGAGGGCGGTGTATTTCCAGCAAAATTGATATTTCCTCCAGATTATCCTTTGAGTCCTCCGAAAATGCAGTTCACTTGCGAAATGTTTCATCCAAACAGTAAGGAAAAAAAAATGTGATTTTTACACGTCAAAAACATCATCCTCAAGGATGGAAAAAACAATTTTTTCTTTCTTTTTCAATGTAGTCTACGCCGATGGCAGAGTATGCATTAGCATTCTGCATGCTCCTGGTGATGACCCCATGGGCTATGAGAGCAGTGCAGAGAGATGGAGTCCGGTTCAGAGTGTGGAAAAAATTCTACTGAGCGTGGTAAGCATGCTGGCCGAGCCAAATGATGAGAGCGGTGCTAACGTAGATGCTGCTAAAATGTGGCGTGAAGATAGAGCTGAATTTGAGAAAATAGCACAAAAACTTGTACGCAAGACACTCGGCATTCCAATATGAATTGTATATCAAGGAAAACTAATGATATTGCATATGAAATACACTCTCCTTATGCATCACCTAATTATGAAAGAATTAACCTCTGGATTCCGTCTACTGTCTTAAATTTATGTGGTTAAAAAACTTGAGAAAGGAATTCTGGAAAATTTTCGTAAATTTAACTCTGTCCATTTTAATTATTCGTACATTCTCCTATTTTCACCATTATTCCATACTGAAGAATAATTATAGCAAGTCATATACGACTGAAGAAAAATGAAAAATATTATTATCAGTTACAAAAAATCATTTATTTGCGAAAATAATAATAATACAATATTATTCAATACAACTTCTCCTTTACACTTTAAAATTGATTGCCAGAAAATTATGGATTTCCAACATAAATTTACTCTCTTTCAGTGGCTCATTTATTTGTATGTAAATTAATAAAAAGAAAAATTGAATATTAATCAAGGAAAAATGGAAAAATTTTCATTCAAAAAACTCATTCTTTCTCCTGGCATTTCCTAAAATATCACTTGACGGTCGCGATATAATTCCGTTACCTCTCTGTACACATAGATTGTCCTCTTCTCTTTTACATTGGCCTATTCACCATCTACATTGAGAGACAGATAAAATCCTAATCCTCGTTGACAAAACGACAATATAATTTGAAGATAATAAATACAACATTGATAAAATTTATTACCTCTTATCACGCTAAAATAGGTTGTCTCTTGTTTGCAATCCTTATATTATTGCACAAAATAGTGATAATTATTGATTTATCAATTGGTTTGGTCTTCTATTAAAACGATTAAAAGATAATTGATCACATTATTAACTGTACTAATTCATGATGATAGGGAGGTAATCGAGAGCAATGTTATACTCTATCTCTACGTTCTTCCAGTCCATTGCAGATTTATCTTTAGAAATTGTAGCACTTGAAATCACAACTAAAATGGCCAGTATCCTAATCACCTTATACATAGACATTAATTCATTCAATTTTTGTAGTTTTACGATTTTTCAGTTGCTAATTACAATAGAGTTAAAATATGGTATGTCTTTGGCCAGCACGACATCAGAAATTCATTTAAATCTCCTGTTATTATTTCGGTACATAAAATAAAGTTGCATAATGCTCAGCGAACACTCAGTTTTAATGTGTCCTTTGTTTCACTTGAAGGAAGCTCATACAAATCAATAGCACGAATTGATGTTCAATACTTGAATGATTTTAATTGATAGAGGGAAATCTAAACGTAACGATGAAACCTTTATTTATACACGACGATTTTTCAATATATCATATATTTATTATTGATGTGTATGTACATTGTATAATGCACAGAATATAATTTGACAGACAACTACGTATGTCGTAGTATATATAATTATAATTGGTCAAAATAAATCTTGCAATGAACGATCAATTGAAATTTGCCAAATAATATTCTTCACTCTTTCCCTTTATCTATAATTTTTCATATGATTTTTATTTATTGGAGAATTTTTTCAAAGTTTAGGAAAATTTTCTATATTGCAATGGATGAGACAAATAGTCTCCGGTTCACTCGAAAGAGATATTAGTGAAAAATAATAGTATAATGAGATGATTTAATGGAGAAGTACAAATTTTTACAGCACCACAATTCTACCGGAGTTCGTTGATTAATACAACCCCATATAATAAATAAATTCCATAAATCTTTCTACATAACTGCTACATGGAAAAGTGTAGAATCGTACTCACTCGCATGATACGGCCAATTACACGTTATTAAAACAAAAAGTGTGTTCGTTAAAAAATTCATACAGCTGTATATATGCATTGTTTTACATAATAGGTATCGATAAATATATTGGATATGATTTTCGGTTAAACGTTAGTCAAGCACCTGAAAATGGTAAAATAATAATAATAATAATAATAATATCTGATCATTTTCCCACCTCGAGTTTATTGGTTTTATTTTTTCCTGTTGTGTCAATAGTCGTGTCGAGTTAGTGACGTGATTCTTCGTCTTGGGTGTTGTTTAGGGGTGGTGTAGCTGGTGTTGGATCGTCGTTGAACATCGGGTTCTTCACCTCAACCTCTCCTGCCTTACGAAAAATAACATTGACCAGCTCAGGAGGAGATGATAATTCGATTAAGAAGTTATTGAATGATTTTTAACTTACAGGCGCTAGACCTGGACACTCGTACACTGTATAATCACCTTCTTCATTTTCTTCATCGCTCTCAGCTTCAGAGACTGATCCAGGATCACGAGATGCAGCTGATCTGCAAAATATTTATTGGCTAATATTGTTTTAACCGTTTATATATATATTGAATCAACTGATAAATAGGATTACTTTTCCATGGCAATTATCTGTTGCTTTTGGTGTTGAAAATGATACATCTGGGCAGAATGGGCCAGTCGTTGGTCACCGGATGGCGACACATCTTTATTGGGGCCTGTCACTCCATAAGCGGGGTAGTCTATGTCTGCAGCTGCTTTAACATTCCGCTGCAGTCTATGAGAATTAAAATTTTCCCTCGTCATAAGTACCAACGAGTGGTCACCAGGTATTTTACCATAATGTTTCTCACGATTTCTCATCTGGGAAGTGATACTACATTCTTCCCAAATTCGAAAACTTGAAAATCACTACGGAAAAAGACTATCCGGGCTGCGGCCTGTGGCCTGCTATGCGAAGTTCAACTGCACACGAGAGAAAAACCCCATCCCAACAGCCCGGAAATAGATTATTGCTGATTAACAGTTAAATTAAATATGTATATTAATAATTATCCCACCTGCACCAGGTTAAACTAATGAGAACGAGTGCGAACATTGCAGCAGCACTGCATCCAGCGACAATAGCTAAAAAAAAAATTGTCCATTAGTGATTTTGAATGAATTTGATATTCAGAGTAATTTTTTTGGTTAATTTAACTTTTTTCATCACACGAATGAGGTGTAATAACATTGATTACTCACCAATGAAGTACACGTCATTGTTGACGTTGCTCCTGGTGAATGTAATAATGGGTGCTTTTCCTGATCGTCTGTGAGGCTCAGGTATGATCTCTATGACTCGATTTTCTTTTTCTTCGTTCTTCACGTCATTAAAATTCCTCCCAGATTGATAAATAATTGATTCTATTTGCGATTTAATGTTTGCATCAGTGTTACTCAGTGGAGATTGTTCACTCCTTGCATCATCATCGCTAACAGTTGTAGGATGCTCTTCCCTCCGTGTCACATGATCCACCTTTTCCCAATATCGAGGATCATTTGGCTTGGCTGCGAATGAGTTTGTAAGTTCTTGGGTCTTGGGTTCTCCAAAATGATATGTAAACTCAGTTAATACATCATTTGGAGTTACTTTTTTAGGAGGAATATAATATTTCTGAGTGTACAATGTCAATAATTGATTCTGTAATTTTTCAAGAGAGCTCTTCATTTTCTCTTTTTCAGAATCATTTGGATCAGGGAGACTTAGCCTCAGAGGATAGCTCGGGGAGTCTTGGAATAACAATTTGCCACGTTCACTAATTCTGCCTTCTGGAAAGGCCATCTTGATCTTGGGGTATTCGTAAATTTCAGGCGGTTCCAAATTGACGTTTAGGTAGGGACGAATTGGTGATTTTGCTGAGTAGGGAATGGAGTTGTAGTCAGAAAGTGAATTTAAGTAATCCTCTCTGCTCTTCTCCAGCAATTTGAGAATGCTAGGGTGATCCACCAAGGCATCCAAGATTTGCCGTTCGCGTTCTTGGTAAATGTCATCCTCATAAGCCTGGATATGACGATAAGAAGGTGGCGCATGGTCTCGACGGAATAGACGAGGGCGCGATTGGGAGGCTAGGTAACGCTCTATCTGCTTTAGCCTTAGATTTGTCGTTGACGATTCTGAATCAACGTCTACGGTGATAAAGTGATGAAATAATTTATAAGTCGTTAATTATAACTGTAAAAATTATGATTAGTAGTGGCGATTAGGCTCGGTATAATTTGTTCAACGAGAATCCATGAAGAATATTAGAATAAAAATGAGTATACACAATGCTCGAAACAGTATAATGGGACAATGTGAGATAGCTGAGTTTATTAATCGTTAAAGGCGCAGTGGTATTATCGTTTTACTCGACTGGTGAAAACATGAAAAACTTACCCTGATAATATTCAAGTTCACCGGTGGTAATATTGATCAATAGACACAAATTAATAACCAAAAATCGGAACGTTGGAGGATCGAATTTCATCCTCGCAAATCCAAATTCCAGATATCCAAATGCGTCTACAGCTGGTTGAATTCACGGGTTTTATCACCAATACGTACGCGTATCATTCATAGTGGATGGTATTTGGGAGGACCTGCGCGTTCAGGAGTCTCCTCAACAAAATGGGTAAATCAATACGGTAAAATACCCTCATGCACACCTTACACATTACTTTTATTATTATTACTGTATAGTTTTTTCATTATTCAATTTTGTGTACAATTGCCGTATGAGTTGAAAGGTTATATCGATTCCGTAATAAGAGAAGCAATCACTCACATTTGGGTGGTTTTATTTTGTTTTTTTTTTTAAAGATTTAGGAAATGAGTAAATGTATAGACACGCAATGTCCAGCGTGCAATAGGTAAAGCTGACGAGTGCTTGTGTATTTCAATGTTTTTGCAGCTGTTAGAAGAGACTTGTCGTTGATTGATTCAGTGAGAGTAACGGAACTTGACTGATAAGCGGTGATAGGAGCAAACTGTTGGCTTGACGAGTTGACGGTAATTATGAATATTGTTATGAATCATGTCATAAAAGAAGTTTTTATTGGCAGTGTCTAGAGACACGGTGTATGGCAATTGCCATACGCCTTTTCCATTAGGCACGAGATTACTGCGCACTCCGTGCGCCGAATTCGAGTTTCGACTTCGGATTCGAATTGACCGATAAGGAATCAGTCTTACGAGTTCCGACTCTGGCGAACTTCATTTACGTATCTCTGCTTTCATGATTAGGTTAAATTAATTAGGTTAAATGATTAGGTTAGGTTAAAACGTGGAAAAAGTAAAAATCACGCCCCGAGGGCTAATCACCCTTATTACGGTTCATAATGAGGGTGAATAAGCTATCAGGGCGTGATTTTTAATTTTTATCACTTTTTGACCAAATGGCACTTGTCAAATTTCAAAAAAAAATTCACCATTCACGCAATAATGAAAATTCCAGGAAAAGGTGAATGGATCTGAGTTACGGAGGCCCCCGCGAGTCATGATAAGCGCGAACTAGCCTTCGGGACGTGATTTTTAATTTTTTTCACTTTTTTACCAAATGGCACTTGGAAAATTTCCAAAAAAATTCACCATTCACGCAATAATGAAAAAAACACATGAAATTTCCACAGCACGCCACAAACCCATCCTCACCATTTTATTTTCCACGAAATTAACACTCTCCACTGACAAATTCGAACCCAAAAAATATCCACCAGGACCACACTGATCTCTTGCTAAAAACCCTGAAATTCTCACAACACGACACCGACCCACACTCACGATTTTTTTCTCCGGATATCAACACCGTCCACTGATGATTTTCGGTTTCCACGAAGCAATATTGCACCAACAACAATGTCGTTATCAATCGAGTATGTTATTAATACTACGTCGTATCCACTCCCCCACAAAAAACCGGGAAAAAGTCTCATTTTTCTCACGATTTGCCGCCTAATAAAATGGCGGCAAAAATCCGGAAATTTTGGCGGTTTAGCAAACACGTATGAAATTCTTTGTTGCCGGTCCCGCGTCGTTCTTAACAGACGCAGGCGCATTCGCTTGGAGTGTCTGCGCATGGCAATGCCCGTAGCCTCTTGTGCGCATGCGTGGGGTCTCCAATGCCCCACCATCTTCTGACGTGGTCCATTGTTCCCTCGCTTTTCGGTGAGCGAGGTGCCCGGCTACTTTCAGTGCGTGAAATAGACATTATAATACGCGGATCGTTAAACAAAACCGCCGGTGTTGACGACAAACGTGTAGAAAACCGAGGGAAATAACGTATTTAGTGAATCTTGCAGTGAGCTTGTGATGAGACAAAGGATGTTGGGGGGCATTTGGATTATTGGAAGTGTGTGACGAAAAAAATTCCAAGGACTCGTTTTCAGTGCGCGGAATCTATTTTCGAGTTTAATAAAAGATTTTGTAGTGTTGGTGTGTTTCTTTTTTGGTGTTGTGTGATTTTTTTTTGGTGTTGTGAGTGTTTTTGGAGGATCGACGCGCTGCGAAAGGCCGACGACATCGAGGTAATTAAATTTCGATTAATGCCACTGTAATACAATACTGATTAACTGTTTTTAATATTGAACATTTATTATTCCAGATCGCGTTGAAGAATCGAGAGATGAAAACAGAGCTCTTGTTTTCGTCCAACGCCGGTGAGTCATTTCAAATTTACCAATTCGTTCATTCTACGATTTTCGCTTGTTATTCCCTGAGAAAAATCCAGCAGGCGAGCTGTG